GAAAAACTAAAGTTTATAAATTCTGTGCAGGTCAAAGTAGAAACTAAGAATGCTCCTACATGAGAGTATCAGCTCTGTTAAAAGCAGTACCTGAAGACAAGTATCAAATGATTTCACTCATCTGTGGAGTATAAGAACAAAGAAAAAAACTGAAGGAGCAAAACAGCAGCAGACTCACAGAACCCAAGAATGGACTAACAGTTACCAAAGAGAAAGGGACTGGGGAGGATGGATGGGAAGGGAGGGATAAGGGGGGTAAAAAAGAAAGGGGGCATTATGATTAGCACGTATAATGAGTGGGGCATGGGGAGGGCTGTACAAAGAGAAGACAAGTAGTGACTCTATAGCATCTTACTATGCTGATGGACAGTGACTGTAATGGGGTATATGGGGGGGACTTGGTGATGGGGGGAGTCTAGTAAACATAATGTTCCTCATGTAATTGTAGATTAATGATGCCAAAAAAAAAAAAGCAGTACCTGTACGTGTGGCCATGTGTGTCATGGTCACCAGGAAGGAGCACCAGTGGCTTAGTTTCAGATCATTCATTTCAGGTAATCCTTCTGGGAAATAACTGGAGAATTAGAAATCAGATGGAATTCTCACCCCCTCTCCCAAAAGTGAGTGAAGACCAGTCTTTTAAACCAGAACAATCAAGCTGTTACAGGGGGGCCATTTGAAGGCTTCATCCAGGATCTGTATTAGCAAGGGAGCAGCCAGTAGGAGGGGTATGGCTCATGTGGCTCAATTCCGACTCTTGGTAGGCCTAATCACACGTGACTTGAAATGCTGGGGGCAGGCAGTGAGAGAAGAAAAGTGCCTTTGGACACATGTTGTCCACCACATAACCCTAAGGGATGCCATTTACTTATGCCACCATGTGATTGGTATCCAGAGTATAGAGCAATGTCTCCCTTTGGAGAGAGAAGCAGATTTGCAAATTATGGGGACAATCGGGAAAATGTTTTCCTCCTATACAGGTTTAATTTAAAAGAATTAACTCCAGGAGGTAGTACTATAATCCCCATTTTACAGGTGATAAAACATAGTCATAAAGGTAACATAAAAAACTAGTTTCAGGAAGTTTATCTCCCCTTTTATTTACCACCAAGTAATCCTTTTCTAAGGCATTAAATACACCCTTGTGCCCAAGATGACTGTCCCTTCTCCAACTCCAGTGACATTCATCTACACCCACTTTCCAGGATTGTGAAACATCATCTCATATTCCATGTTTCATACTTCCTTCTAATTTCACTGCCCTATATCTTAAATATGCTCTCTAGCTGCTTTCCAGGATTAATAGTTAAATATCTGATTTTGTTTAAGTCTTCATAAGTATAAAGGTGTGATCATTGGGCCCTAGAATTTCCTTCTTTATACTTTTCTATTTCATCCTGTCTCCATTTATATTTCTTACCTTTTTTCCTTCTTTTTTTGTAAATTTATCAATAAACTTAATCCAGTGCCAGAATCTAAAATAGATGATAGATAGATAGATAGATAGATAGATAGATAGATAGATGATAGATAGACAGATAGATAGATAGATAGATAGATAGATAGATAGATAGATAGATATAGACAAATACTGTTATGGACTGAATTGTGTCACCCAAGATTCATATGTTAAGCCCTAATCCCCAGTTTGATTCTATTTGGAGATAGGGCCTTTTGGGAGGTGACTAACATTAAGGCAGTCTAAAACCAAGAATAGAGGCCTTACCAAAAGCTAATTCTTATGGCATCTTGATTTTGGGCTTTCTGTCCTCAAGAAATATGAGAAAATCAATTTCTGTTCTTTAAGCCATCCAGCCTGTGTTATTTTGTTATGATCACCAAAGCAAATGAATATAGATTCTATATTGAATATATTACTCTCCTAGAGATCATTTGTAAGTAAAATATACTAAGTGAATGTTACATAGCTGTAAATGCTGTAGTAGAAAGAAGACTGAACTGAAGGAAAGAAACCCAGGCACAATCAAGTTGTAGTTCTGCCGCTTCCTGTATGTGTGAACATGTCAGTGTTTTCACCCCTATGAGCCTCAGCAACCTCAACTGTAAAAAACTAGATTATTTTTCAAGGCCCTCACAGCTTGGGAATTCTCATTACTAATATCCAGTCAGTGTTTGTGGGCATAAATTCTTACATATCACAAATCATTTCAACCTTTCTTGGAGAGAACTTAGGTCTAGCACACTGAAAGAGTTGGAGCCCCACACAGCAAAAGGGCAAATCGTGTTAAGAGTTCCCTTATGTCTGTGCATCTGTCCTTTATGTACTTGGGGTGCCTGGCAGTGTGCCAAGGAGCACTACAAACCACAATATAAATGAGGCTCTTCACCAAGAAGTATCAGTTTTATAAAGATTTTGGGAGAAGAAAATGTGGACATAAAGCAAGTGATGCAAAATTTGCATAAAACGTTGAAACATGACACTCTGGAGAAAATTTTGGCTTCTAGTAAGCATCTTTGCTCATCCACTCAATCTCTACTATTTACTTACTCTGTCTTTGGGAGTATTTTATGGAAAACTTTGTAAGATACTGCAACAGGTAAATCTTACTAATTATAAAAGGAACTATCTTGGATAGGGTATCAGATTTACTTGCCAGTAGATCATATTCATAAGTAGACTGATAGAAAAAAATTATTCTACAATCACATCTCTATCCCCAAACAGGCAACTCTAAAAAGCATGCGGTTAATCAAAAGGAAGTAGGGGATTGTGGCCAACTAAATATAACGAAATATATTGGGATGGGGCAATATATTGGTGGGGGGACAAACTAAATATAACTCAAAACCAACTCTTTTAAGGAAGGCCATTGTAGAAACATCTGTTGTATTTAAGATGCCAGTTTACATTTCCTTATTTGGTTTCCCTCTGGTCTTGGTAATACTGTCAAACAAGACCGACTATCCCTTAGCCAAGGGCGAACATGTGACTCAAGCTAGGCTAATCAGCCTCTCCCTCTGAGGAAATGCGTCTTGAGTAGAGGGAAGCTAACAGTGATAATAATGGGGCACTTCATCTTCCATAGGAAACCCTGAAGCAGCTGAAGCTGAGGGTCTCTCCATTCTGTCCTTGTGCCTGGGTGCTGGAACAATTCTGATCTCTCTCCTTTCCAGATTTATTCAAGTTTTTCCTTTGTGAGCTTTTCCCAGTGTTTCCAATAAATTCTCTCTTGCTTAAGTTAGTCTATTTTTATTGCTCGTAGCCAAAAGCCTGTGGTGCAGGGCAATAGGCACCAGCTTCATATAAAATATCCCATCACATTATATTTGATAAAATTAACTACTCTATTTGCAGGAAGTTAGCCAGATGGTGATTTTATTTGGCATTATTATTTGTGTAGGCTTCAATATAAAACACAAATTATTTTTAAAGAGGAAGGAATTTTACATCTTCTTATCATTGTTCCTTTCTACTTTCCTCCCCCCACCTCAAATTATCTTAACCCTCATTTCATTCTTAAAAAAAGAAAAACTTACAAAAAGACTCTTGCATATCTACATGTATATTTCTACTTAAGAAATTAGCATTAAAAAACTTTTCTGAAGCACAGAGGATTTTTAGGGCAGTGAAACTACTTTGTGTGAAACTGTAACAGTGGATATATGTCACTATATATTTGTCCAAACCCACAGAATGTACAAAACAAGGAGTGAACCCTACAGTGAACCATGGACTTTGGGTGATTATGATGTGTCTGTGCAGGTTTATCAAGTGTAGTAAATGCTCCAGTCTGGTGGAGGATGGGCTAATGGGGGAGGCTGTTCATGTGTGAGAATAAGGGAGAAATGGGAAATCTTGGTATTTGGTATCTTCCTTTCAATTTTGCTGTGAATCTAAAACTGCTCTAAAAATGAAGTCTATTAAAACAACAAAAACCTTTTCTACATACAAAGCACATACTTAATCTATTTCATAATCATAATCATCATCGTCCACATTGGCTCTGATGTTAGAGAGCTCCTCAGGTTTTGGTTTCTTTTTGGTCTCTGTGCTTTTCCCAGTGAGATGTAAGTGGTGCTCACATTGCTTCACAATCTTCTTGGAGGACATCCAGCTCTCCCCTTGTCGTTCAGCCGGTGCTGCACATTGTCCTCCCCTCACATCTGTGCCCTTGGCCTTCAGGACCTCCCTTACTCTTAGGAGACTGCAGGTGCAATTCCATGGATTTCCATCCAGGTACAGATACCTGAGGCGATGCAGCCCCTCCAAGGCTCTGAGGTCTAAAGCAGAGATCTTGTTGTTCCTGAGGTTCAGAACCTGAAGCTGCTTTAGATCCTTGAGCTCCTTCTCAGCAATATCCTGGATGGCATTGCCTTTTAGGTCCAGCCTGGCTAAGGTCCCTGGGAGCCTGCAAACACATGGAGAGAGGATGTGAGATGAGGCCATGACCGTCGTTCCATAGCTGCCAAGGCAGCTTGCTTTTTCTGTGCTGTTCTGTCCCATCTGGAGCTAGAAAACAACCTTTATTTTGAAAAATTAATTACAAATGCAAACCTCAGACTTATTTATAGGTCTTTAATCCTTTCTCATAGTCTTTCTAACCATTTGATTTTTTTGGTTCCTAGCCATAAATTTTAATTTTTTTCTTGCCATATGGGACCATGTAAACAAATTGATAAGAAAAACACTAAGATCCAAATTTTTTAGTTGGCAAAGGCCATGGATCAGTTATGATAGGAGAAGTAAAAACGTCAAATAAAAATATGAAAAAGTATTATTTTTTATGACTATAAAAGGCAATGAATATGATTAAATGTTTTATATCCATAATTAAAGCATAATTTTGGTTTTAAATTTTAAAATTTATTGCTGCTGAGGGTCTAGTTAGGTAAGAATTTAAACTGTTCAGGGGCAGGTAAATTGGTACCACTTTGGAAACAATTTGGTAAAACATATCAAATTTAAATAATGTCATACCTTTCAGCCTAGGAGATAATAGGAGAAGGAATAAATATTTATTTACAACTANCTTAAGAAATTAGCATTAAAAAACTTTTCTGAAGCACAGAGGATTTTTAGGGCAGTGAAACTACTTTGTGTGAAACTGTAACAGTGGATATATGTCACTATATATTTGTCCAAACCCACAGAATGTACAAAACAAGGAGTGAACCCTACAGTGAACCATGGACTTTGGGTGATTATGATGTGTCTGTGCAGGTTTATCAAGTGTAGTAAATGCTCCAGTCTGGTGGAGGATGGGCTAATGGGGGAGGCTGTTCATGTGTGAGAATAAGGGAGAAATGGGAAATCTTGGTATTTGGTATCTTCCTTTCAATTTTGCTGTGAATCTAAAACTGCTCTAAAAATGAAGTCTATTAAAACAACAAAAACCTTTTCTACATACAAAGCACATACTTAATCTATTTCATAATCATAATCATCATCGTCCACATTGGCTCTGATGTTAGAGAGCTCCTCAGGTTTTGGTTTCTTTTTGGTCTCTGTGCTTTTCCCAGTGAGATGTAAGTGGTGCTCACATTGCTTCACAATCTTCTTGGAGGACATCCAGCTCTCCCCTTGTCGTTCAGCCGGTGCTGCACATTGTCCTCCCCTCACATCTGTGCCCTTGGCCTTCAGGACCTCCCTTACTCTTAGGAGACTGCAGGTGCAATTCCATGGATTTCCATCCAGGTACAGATACCTGAGGCGATGCAGCCCCTCCAAGGCTCTGAGGTCTAAAGCAGAGATCTTGTTGTTCCTGAGGTTCAGAACCTGAAGCTGCTTTAGATCCTTGAGCTCCTTCTCAGCAATATCCTGGATGGCATTGCCTTTTAGGTCCAGCCTGGCTAAGGTCCCTGGGAGCCTGCAAACACATGGAGAGAGGATGTGAGATGAGGCCATGACCGTCGTTCCATAGCTGCCAAGGCAGCTTGCTTTTTCTGTGCTGTTCTGTCCCATCTGGAGCTAGAAAACAACCTTTATTTTGAAAAATTAATTACAAATGCAAACCTCAGACTTATTTATAGGTCTTTAATCCTTTCTCATAGTCTTTCTAACCATTTGATTTTTTTGGTTCCTAGCCATAAATTTTAATTTTTTTCTTGCCATATGGGACCATGTAAACAAATTGATAAGAAAAACACTAAGATCCAAATTTTTTAGTTGGCAAAGGCCATGGATCAGTTATGATAGGAGAAGTAAAAACGTCAAATAAAAATATGAAAAAGTATTATTTTTTATGACTATAAAAGGCAATGAATATGATTAAATGTTTTATATCCATAATTAAAGCATAATTTTGGTTTTAAATTTTAAAATTTATTTTGTGACCAATCCAAATGGAACAATATTCATATTATAATGGTACAAGAAGAAGAAGAGAGAGAAAAAGGGATAGAAAGTGTCTTTGAGGAGCTAATTGCAGAAAACTTCCCCTATCTGGGGAAGGACATAGTCTCTTAGGCCATGGAGGTGCACAGATTTCCCAACACAAGGGACCCAAGGAAGACAACACTAAGACATATAGTAATTAAAATGGCAAAGATCAAGGATAAAGACAGACTATGAAAAGCAGCCAGAGAGAGAAATAAGATCACATACAAAGGAAAGTTCATCAGGCTATTGTAAGATAAATTTTAGCTGAAATAAGCAGGCGAAGAGAGGCAACAAAGGGCCAGGTAGTTTATTTGAGTGCCACTCCCAGGTGATGTTCCACGGTCTGGGTATTACAGGCCAGGGAAGTCAGACCCGGTCAGGGAGGCGGGGGCTTATAAGGGATTAGGAGGGGGGTAGGAGTGGACCAGCTATCCCAGGGAACGTGGAGAGGTATGATTGGCTAAAGGTGACATAATAGACAACTAGAAACTTTTTTTCCTTCTAAGAGGGAGGAGGCTGACATCCGGGTCTTAGTTGGCACATCAGAAGGATGGAATTCAGGAAGAGCTGTTCCCTTTCCATATAAGGCACGGACCTTCGGGTCTTGTCTGTTCTCCCCCTATGGCATCTCTCTGTTCTGTTTGAATGTCCTTGTTTTTCCTTCCTCCAGCCTAACAGCTATCATCAGACTTCTCAACAGAAACCTTACAGTCCATAAGGGAGTGGCATGATGTATTTAATGCAATGAAGCAGAAGGGCCTCGAACCAATAATACTTTATCTTGCAAGATTATTATTTAAATTTGAAGGAGGGATTAAACAATTTCCAGATAAGGAAAGTCTGAGAGAATTTACCTCCCACAAACCATCTCTACAGTGTATTTTGGAGGGACTGCTATAGATGGAAGTGTTCCTAAGGTTTCATAGCTGTCATCAGAGGTAATAAAATCACAGTAAAGAAAGTAGAACGGTTAAATACTAAGCAAATGCAAAATTAAATCAACTATCCCCAAAGTCAATGAAGGGACAAAGAGTACAGAATATGATACCTAATATATGAAGAATGGAGGAGGAAGAAAAAGGAGGAGAAAAGAGAACCTTTAGATTATGTTTGTAATAGCATATTAAATGAGTTAATTTAGACACTTAGATTAATCTCGAACCTTTGGTAACCACAAATCTAAAGCCTGCAATGGCAATAAGTATATACGTATCGATAATCACCCTAAATACAAATGGACTGAATGCACAAATCAACAGACATAGAGTCACTGAATGGGTAAAAAAACAAGACCCATCTATATGCTGCCTACAAGACACTCATTTTAAACCCAAAGACATACACAGACTAAAAGTGAAAGGATGGAAAAAGATATTTCATGCAACTAACAGGGAGAAAAAAGCAGGTGTTGCAGTACTTGTATCAGACAAAATAGACTTCAAAACAAAGAAAGTTAAAACAGACAAAGAAGGACATTACATAATGACTAAGGGGTCAATCCAACAAGAAGATATAACCATTATAAATATCTATGCACTCAACAAAGGAGCACCTACATATGTGAAACAAATACTAACAGAATTAAAAGGGGAAATAGAATGCAATGCATTCATTCTAGGAGACTTCAACACTCCACTCACTCTGAAGGACAGATCAACCAGACAGAATATAAGAAAGGACACAGAGGCACAGAACAACACATTAGAACAGATGGACCTAACAGACATCTACAGAACTCTACACCCAAAAACAGCAGAATACACATTCTTCTCAAGTGCATGTGGAACATTTTAAGAATAGATCATATACTAGGCCACAAAAAGAGCCTCAGTAAATTCAGAAAGATTGAAATTGTACCAACCATTTCCTCAGACCACAAAGGTATGAAACTAGAAATAAATTATCCAAAGAAAGGAAATATCCACAAACACATAGAGGCTTCACACCATGCTCCTAAATAACCAATGGATCAATGACCAAATAAAAACAGAGATCAAGCAATATATGGGGACAAATGACAACAATGATTCAACACTGCAAAATCTGTGGGATGTAGCGAAGGCCATGCTAAGGGGAATGTATATTGCGATACTGGCCTACCTGAGAAAAGATCAATCCCATATAAGCAGTCCAAACTCACAATTAATGAAACCAGAAAAGAAGAACAAATGAGGCCCAAAGTCAGTAGAAGGAAGGACATAATAAACATTAGAGCAGATATAAATAAAATCGAGAAGAATAAAACAATAGAAAGAATCAGTGAAAAAAACAGCTGGTTCTTCAAGAAAATAAACAAAATAGATAAATCCCTAGCCAGACTTATCAAATAAAAAAGAGAGTCTACACACATAAACAGAATCAGAAATGAGAAAGGAAAAATCACTACGGACACCATAGAAATATAAAGAATTATTAGAGAATACTATGAAAAACTATATGCTAACAAACTGGATAACCTAGAAGAAATGGAAAACCTTCTAGAAAAATACAACCTTCCAAGGCTGTCCCAGGAAGAAACAGAAAATCTGAATAGACCAACTACCAGCAAAGAAATTGAATTGGTAATGAAAAAACTACCTAAGAACAAAACTCCTGGACCAGATGGCTTCACCACTGAATTTTATCAAACATTTAGTGAAGACCTAATAACCATCTTCCTTCTACTTCCAAAGAGTAGAAGGGGGAATACTTCCAAACTCATTCTATGAGGCCAGCATCACTTTAATACCAAAACCAGGCAAAGACACCACAGAAAAAGAAAATTACAGACCAATATCCCTGATTAATATAGATGCAAAAATACTCATATTAGCAAACCAAATTCAAAAATACATAAAAAAGATCATCCATCATGATCAAGTAGGATGTATTCTGGTGATGCAATGATGTTACAACATTTGAAAATTCATCAGCATATCCACCACATCCACAAAAAGGACAAAAACCACATGATCATCTCCATAGATGCTGAAAAAGCATTTGACAAAATTCAACAACCATTCATGATAAAGACTCTCAACAAAATGGGTATAGAGGACAAGTACCTCATCATAATAAAGGTCATATATGAAACCCACAGCCAACATTATACTTAACAGCGAGAAGCTGATTGCTTTTCCTTTAAGATGGGGGAAAAGACAAGGACGCCCACTCTCCCCACTTTTATTCAACATAGTACTGGACATCCTAGACACGGCAATCAGACAAACACAAAGAAATAAAAGGCATCCAGATTGGCAAGGAAGAAGTTAAACTGTCCGTGTTTGCAGATGACATGATATTATACATAAAAAACTCTAAAGAATCCACTCCAAAACTACTAGATTTAATATCTGAATTCAGCAATGTTGCGGGATACAAAATTAATACACAGAAATCTGTGGCACTCTTATACTCTAATGATGAACTAGCAGAAAGAGAAATCAGGAAAACAATTTCATTCACAGTTGCTTCAAAAAGAATAAAATACCTAGGAATAAACCTAACCAAGGAAATGAATGACCTATACTCTGAAAACTAAAAGACACTCATGAGAGAAATTACAGAAGATACCAATAAAAGGAAACACATCCCGTGCTCATGAATAGGAACAATTAATATTGTCAAAATGGCCATTCTGCCTAAAGCAATCTACAGATTCAACGCAATTCCTATCAAAATACCAATAGTATTCTTCAATGAACTAGTGCAACTCATCCTAAAATTCATATGGAAAAGAAGAAAAAAATAAAATAAAATTCATATGGAACCACAAAGACCCCGAATTGCCAAAGCAATCCTGAGAAGAAAGAATAAAGCTGAGGTGATTATGCTCTCCAACTTTAAGCTCTACTACAAAGCCACAGTAATCAAGACAATTTGGTACTGGCACAAGAACAGACCCATAGACCAACGGAACAGACTATAGAGCCCTGATATAAACCCAACTATATATGGTCAATTAATATATGATAAAGGAGCCATGGACATACAATGGGTAAATGACAGCCTCTTCAACAACTAATGTTGGCAAAACTGTACAACTACATGCAAGAGAATGAAATGGGATTATTGTTTAACCCCATATACAAACATTAGCTCTAAATGGATCAAAGACCTTAATGTAAGTCATGAAACTATAAAACTCTTATAAGACAACATAGGCAAAAATCTCCTGAATATAAGCATGAGCAACTGCTTCCTGAATGCATCTCCACAAGCAAGGAAAATAAAAGCAAAAATGAACACATGAAACTACATCAAATTAAAAAGTTTCTGTATGGCAAAGGACACCATCAACAGAACAAAAAAGCATCCTACAGTATGAGAGAATATATTTCTAAATGACATATCCGACAAGGGGTTAATATCCAAAATATATAAAAAACTCACATACCTCAACACACAAAAAGCAAATAACCCGATTAAAAAATGGGCAGAGGATATGAAGAGACAGTTCTCCAAAGAAGAAATTCAGGTGGCCAACAGGCACATGAAAAGATGCTCCAC